CAAATTTGATATTTTCAAGCGAAAGTTTTTTCAAATCTGAACACGGAGTTTGTATCTAAACGTAGACATTTATTAGAATGCGTTTAAAAAAAAAAATTGTTTCACCTTAAAAGTATATATATATATATATATATATATATATATATATATATATATATTGCGTATATTTTGGTAGCATTTTTCATTTAGTTAACTCCCATGATGCATTACTCGCTAATTCAACTTAAATCAGCGTTCCTCACGTCACTAGTAAAATAATTAACTTTCAGATGAACACAGCAAATTTCCTTTGAAAATTATCAATACTGCTATATTTGTCTTTAAAAAAAAACACAAAACAACAACACACTGATGATGACACTGAGCTAATGTTTATAATATTCAGAATAAATAAATAAATAATATGTATCAAAACCGTAATTTTCTCTCTTTCTTTAATAATGACGCCAAATTAAATTATCCAATGAAACAGGTCTCAATATATATATATATATATATATATATATATATGCTTAACTCAGAATTTTGAGTTGAAAATCTTGAGTTCGTCTTGTACGTCAAACTAGATAGAATAGTACACTGCAATTTAAAGGCATATATATATATATATATATATATATATATATATATATATATATATATAAGTGAACATTGAAGTCAACACTTAGAGGCGACAGGCAGTTTCAATGCTAGACGCAATCAGGTCACCTGATTGCGTCTAGCTTTTATATTTACACACGTTCTATCTATGATATTGAGCACTTTATCCCATAAATATAGCACACCTTAAGAGTATATTTCTTCATATATATATATATATATATATATATATATATATATATATATATATAAAAATGTAAATGGATATAGATCCGACAGAATGAAGAAAAATTTGGAAAAAACAAACAAAAAATTTTAAATGGAATTATGTTGTTTAAATGGAATTATGTTGTTTAAAAATTGTCCTGACGTTTCGGTTTAATAAACCTTCTTCAGGACAATGTTCATTAAAATACAAGTAAATTCAGTTTAATTTGACAAAGACGATGGACATAAAAACAAGTCTTATCCAAAACAGATAACTGAAAATTTTTAAAGTGATCAGCTTTTCGTTTAGCATGGTCATTTTAAACAACATAATTGCATTTAAGGATTTTTGTTTGTTTTTTCCAAATTTTTCTTCATATATATATATATATATATATATATATATATATATATACATTTCATTGAATACGACAGAAAAGGTGCTTTCATTTAGTTTTTTATACAATTTCTCATGCGATCTATTTTCTTTTCTTTTCGGATGATAATTTATATAAAAACTGTCCGAATGTTCTTTTTATCCGAGCGCTTTCGGCTATACATTTAGCAAAAATGAAAAAAAAAATTATTATTATATCACATGTGAAATTGTATAAAAAAGTAAATAAAATTGTCTGTCGTTTTTAATGAAATGTGCATGAAGAAGGATTGCAACCTAAATGCACAAATATATATATATATATATATGTGTGTGTGTATGTATTTATATACCGTAAATTGCAGTGGATATATATATATATATATATATATATATATATATATATATATATTATGAAATAGACAAAGCCCGACAATTATTTTTAAGACATTTTATGTTTGTACATTCTTTTTATAGATACAAATATTTATGTAAATGCTCTGTTTATAATAAACAGTATTAAACAACATTTACAGGCCTGAATATCTGAGAAATTTTCTTAGAAAATATTCGTCCTCCGACAGGAATCGAACTTGTATCCTATACGGAACCGTCATAAAGCCGATGGCGTTCGGTTAGCTAGGTCGATTTTACTGTATTTAAACTACAAAAAGAATGTATAAACATAAAAATGTCTTTAAAATAATTGTCGGACTTTGTCTATTTCATATTGTGTGACTTCATTTGTTTACATTTGAATACGCTTTGAGCAGATATGAATGTACGTGAGAGAATCATGGAAGATTGTAGATTATATTGTTTTTTTTTATTTTAAATAAATAAATAGTTTTTAAAGGCCGTTTTTCGCAAGATTGCTAGATATGAAGTGTTTTTCATAGTTAAAAAAATATTTAATCTTGAACAAACTGAAATAGATAGATAGATTAGAAAATGAATACATAGATGTATAACAAGAAAGAAAAGGAAGAGAGATAGATATAAAAAAAAGTAATAAAGAAAATGACAGATCGATCGATAGATAGAAATAAATAAATAAATAAATAAAGCAATATAGATAAAATAGTTTTTATTTTAATATATCGCATAATTAATTTCTGGATTTATTTTGCAATTTTTTTATTTTATTTTTATTTATTTACTTTTTGCTGAATAAATTTCATCTTCTTTTCTCTATATCCGACTCTTTTCTTTTCCACAGAATATCTGGGTGGTAATTTGGAGACCAATTATCCCCAACCCAAGGCGTCTACCGCTTAGTCCGCGCTGTGAAGGGCCCGCATCTTCAAAACCTCGGCACACTCGGTGGGGCACCGCGCACAAAATTTCAAAAAAGAAAAAAAAATCTTCCGATGCTCACAAAGAATCCTGAGACACTAAAACAAAACAGTGGTAAATTTGCCAGAGGCAAGTGACGAAAATGGTGGGTGATTTCTTTCTTTTTTTTTAAACCACTACCGCCTGACAAGATTTCACTCAGGTGATTTATTAAACTGAATGACTAAATATAAATAACTAGCTGAGCTACACGTCGGTTGTTAGGGCATTTTTTTTCTTTTGCCTTGAATAGTTTTCCTGTATACAATTCAGTCTTCGATTATTGAAATCAAATACCATGTCATATTTAACAGCTACTTATTACAGCTTCCTGGACAAATGGTGGGAATCGTAACACACACACACACACACATATATATATATATATATATATATATATATATATATATATATATATATGTATACACATATTTTAGTAGGGTTGGTGTGTGTTTTTGACACTAGGATTCACACTATTTGCGATCGTCAGATAAAATTTAGGTTTGTCTGACGATCATAAATAGCGTGAAATGCAGGGTCACAAACTCACACCAGTCCAACTAAATATTTTACCTCTATCACTGATATTGAGCGCTTTCGAAATAAGTACCGCGCATATATAATATATAAATAATATATATATATAAACTTGCATATATATATATATATATATATATATATATATATATATACACTATATATTGTAATTATAATTATATTTAAAAATATGATTCCATATATTTAACAGCTACTTATTAAACTTCCTGAACTAATGGTGGGAATGGTAATACACACACACGGACACACACAGACACACGTGTATATATATATATATATATATATATATATATATATATATATATATATATATATTTCTGTAGTTCACTGCTACCAGCAAACAGAAAATTAATTTTCTCCTGATGATGGCCATGTTGGCCGAAACTAGTCGAGGAATCTAAATGAATTAATAATAAAAACGAACGAATATTAATATACAACCCAGTCTGCCTGAAGATTTTAATTTTTTAATATTTTTTATTGTTCAATATATATCATATTTTTTTAAAATAATTATAATATATATATATATATATATATATATATATATATATATATATATATATATATATATTATTTTTATTTTTAAAAAATATGATTCCATTGTGACACAGAAATTACTGTTTCGAAATTTCACTCGAGTCCTAAAGTTAAATTCAATATTAAACTTAAAATTTGGAGTGCAATTTCATTCTCAATTCTTCAGTTAGTTACTCTAATCATCGCTTGAGAATGAAACTGAACTCTAAATTTTTTAGTTGTAATTGTATTTTGATAGCAAAATACATTGAAGGTTGCAAGGACTGCCATATCAATTATTATTATTTTTATTATTATTATTATTATCATTATTATTATTATTATTATTATTATTATTATTATTTCCAATTTGAAATTGTGAAGATTATTATATTCGCTGTCGAAAATGACGTTAATATCAGCCAATTCAATGTATTTTTTTTTAATCTGGTCATTTCCCTTCCTTACCCTGTATTTAAATTTGTTCAGTCCTTAAAGAAAAAATCATTTCTATGTCACCCTATCGGCTCATCTTTAATTCTTCCTTTTCCTTTCTTTCCCTTTCTCACTCTCTCCATCTCTTACGCATCCCCTCTCTTTCACTTTCTCTTTCTCTCTTCACCCCTCAATTTATGTTAAAAACCTTATATTGACATTTTTATATTTAATTTCTTCCTTTTTAATATGAATTGTTATGCTTTTTTTTTCTTTTTTCCTCTTTTTTTTTCTCCATTTCGACTGGATAAATTGACATCATTTATTAAAAAAAACTTTAGTCTGAAGAGATGAATATTTATATATTCATGAAACAAATTATAACCGAATAGATTTGTAAGGATCGTCTCTACTCATTATTGATACATACATACATACATACATACATACATACATACATACATACATACGGACATGTATACATACATATATATTAGGCAATTGCATTTCCGAAAGTAATAATCAAAAATAACATTAAATACTTACATTCGATACACATGTACCAATCTCACTCTCAGATTGACCTGCCACCTGTCGTAACATTGCGCAATCCGTACACACATCGATCAAAATTTCATGAACGACCGAAATGTAACTAACCTCATAAGAAAAATATGTTGTTACAATATATTTTTTTAATTTTTCAGTGATCAGAAAGAGAATTACAACGGATGATTAAGCCTGAAAGAAGGAGAGGCAACTATTCCAAATAAATGTTTCATTTAAATCTCGTTTCGTCAGACAGATATAAATTAACTTCAATACAAACGGCAGCACTATAATTATAATGCAGCTTTTATTGATAATTAATTGTTGATTCCTATTGAGAGACTTCTTTCCTAAGGAATTTGATTCTTTTTTTTTGTTTCTTAAATAAAATAATGAAACGATAAGGGAAATAAATAATTATTTACAGATAGATAGATATGAACAGACTGCGACAGATAGATAGATAGATAGATAGATATGTATAGACTATGATATATATATATATAGAGATAGATAGACATACAGACAGACACATGAATAGACTATGATAGATAGATAGATAGATAGATAGATAGATAGATATGAACAGACTGCGACAGATAGATAGACAGATATGAACAAACGATGATCGATAGATAGATATGTATAGACTATGATATATATATATAGAGAGAGAGATAGATAGACATAGAGACAGACACATGAATAGACTATGATAGATAGATAGATAGATAGATATGAATAGACTATGACAGATAGACAGATATGAACAAACAATGATAGATAGATAGATAGATATGTATAGACTATGATATATATAGAGAGAGATAGATAGATAGATATACAGACAGACACATGAATAGACTATGATGGATATATAGATAGATAGATAGATAGATAGGCAGATAGATAGATACATATGAATAGACTATGACAGATAGACAGATATGAACAAACGATGATAGATAGATATTTATATACTACAATATATATATATATATATGAATGAATAGATAGATAGATAGATAGATAGATAGATAGATAGATATGAATAGACTATGATAGATAGGCAGACAGGCATTAACAGACTATGATAGAGATGATAAATAGATAGATAGAAAGATAGACAGACAGATATATATGAATAGACTATGATAGATAAATAGACAGACAGTGATGAACAGACTATGATAGATAGATAGATAGATAGATAGATAGATAGATAGATAGATACTAGACTGGTATGTGTCGGTAGTATCTGAAAAGTTCGCGTTGAACTTATTTTGAAAATAAAAAACCTCTTTGCTAACATGAGAATAAAAATTTAAGATGGAGAACTTTTCCTTTTTTCTGATGCAGCTAGATAATTTAATTATTAACGTCTGCCTTTCTAGGCACACACACACATATACATACATAACTACACACACACACACACGCATATATATATATTTAGAGAGAGACTGAGAGAGCCAGATAGAGACAGACAGAGAGAGAAAGAAAGAGAGGAAAAGATGTGTGTGTGTGTGTGTATGTGTGTGTGTGTGAGAGAGAGAGAGAAAGAGAGAGGCGGGGAGAAGTCCGGCTTCAATGACACAATTATAGATTTTATAATGTCGAGAACAAATATCAAGATTATCTTAGCTCCAATTTGGTCTTTCAACTACTACTACTACTACTACTAATATTAATGATAATAATAATAATAATAATAGGGTCATGAATTGAAAGTTGCTAAAATGAAAACGGTTTTATTTTATTCGCTATGCGGGTCTAATTTTGCGGTTAAAAGAAAAAAAAAACTTTGTGCAAAATTGCAAGCCGATGCCATTCAGTTGCAATGGCCTTAGGGTAAGGATTTCGGAGAAGATCGGGGATAAAAAAAATAGAAAGAAAGAAAGAAAGAAAAAAGAAAAAGATATGCGGATAGAAAAAGAAAAAAGTTAAGCAATATAAAGATATAAAGATGAAAGGAAAAGAAACAAAGTAACATGGAAAAGGAGAAAGTGACAATGAAAGAGAAAGAAAAAAAAGAAAAGGTTAGAAAATAAAAAGAAAATAAAAAAGAAAGAGGAAAAAAGACAATAAAAAGAAAGAGAAAGAAAAAAAAGAAAGAAAATAAAAGAGCAAAGAAAGAAAATGAAACGGGAAGAGAAAGAAGCAAAAAGAAAGAAAGAAAAGAAAAAAAAAGAAAAAAATGAGAAAAAAAAAGAAAGAAATGAAGGAAAACTGTAGATAAAGAAGAAAAGTATCGGAAAAAAAAATAATTTGAAAAAGATATAAAAAATTTAATCGAAATAAATCATAAAGATAATGTAAAGATATTAAATAAAAAAGAAACGATTATATTTTAGTTATAGAGAAGAAATGAATAAAAAAAACGTCATTTAAATATAATAAAATGAAAAACTAGAAGAATGCGAAATGAAAAAGGGTAAGCGGTATAAATGAGGAATGAATGAATCTGATAAAGCCAATATAAAAACAAAAGGACAAATGAAAAGGAAAGAAATAAAAATAAAATAAAAACAGAAAGTTTTTAAATGAGAAAAAAGAGGGGAAACCAGTTATGAACGTTAGGGAAAAACAATGGAATTAAAGAATAGAAAAAAAAGACGAATAGATAGATCGATAGATAGATAGATAGATAGATACATAGATACATAGATATAGAAATATGTGATAGATATATTAGAAACATACAGACATATGTGCGCAGATAATCTCTCAGTCTCTACTTCTCTCTCTCTCTCTCTCTCTCTCTCTCTATATATATATATATATATATATATATATATATATATATATATATATATGTCCATGTTGGCCGAAACTAGACGCGGAATCTAAATGAAATAATAATAATAATAAAAGCGAAAGAATATTAATCTACAACCCAGTGTGTCTGAAGATTTTAATTTTTTAATATGTTTTATTGTTCAAATATATATATATATATATATATATATATATATATATATATATATATATATTTATATATATATATATATATATAAAATATTTTATGTTTATAGATTTTACTTAAAATATTTGTATTTAAAAAAATAGAATGTATAAAATAAAATGTCTTAAAATAATTGTCGAACTTTGTCCATTTCATAATGCGTGACGTCATTTGTTTACATTTGGATACGCCATGAGCAGATATGAATGTACGTGAGAGAATCATGGAAGATTGTAGTTTAAAGAACGTTCCTCTGTGGCCCAATCGGTTAAGGCACGTCACGTTCGATTGCTGCCGGAGGACGAATATTTTCTATGAAAATTTCTCGGACATTTAGGCCGTTAAATGTTGTCTAATACTGTTTATTATAAACAGAGCGTTTACTTAAAATATTAGTATCTACAAATAGGATGTATAAACATAAAAATGTCGTAAAATAATTGCATAACTGTTATGCCATAGTACCTATTCTTTGGTAATGGACTCTCCCATAGATAATAAGTAGGAGTAGCAGTGGCAAGTCTGGCAGAATGGTATTGAGCGCGTCAGTCGAGATTCGGACATTTGAAGTACTAACCATCACAACTAGATTTGCTGCGCCATTGACTCTTATTTTCCAAGTTCCTAACGTTTTGTACGTCGGACCTAATTTAGGACGACTTATTAGAAATACAAGCCTCCACTGAGAAAATAGTCCACAACAATAACACACACACACACACACACACACACACACACACACACACACACACACATATATATATATATATATATATATATATATAAAGATACGTTTATAATTTTAAGAAATAGAGGCAGATTGTAAAAGAAGAATATTAAAAATATGTAATTATACTTTTAAAAAATTATTACGGATTTAACAATCTAGGTGTTTAACATATCTTCCGCAATTTTTTGTTCAACACAAAATTAATATATTTGTTCAAAATTTCTTTAAAAATTAACATATTAATTTTAAGTACGAATTTATATATAGTTTACATTATTATAAGCTGGTGCTTCTGCTATAAACACACTTGTGCAAATACAGGAAGATATGGAGAGCCATGGTCACCTATACTCTTGTGCAAATTAATTGAAACAAAACGAATATTTCCATTTCTATTTCATATTTTTCCAATATAACATGACCCAATGCACCTCCATTTCACGAAATCTTTCCTTTTAGATTGACTATAGATTCTCGATTGGATTTAAATCAGTAGATTTGTACGCTCCGGCCTTCTTCAGGTGATACACTGGAATTTCAAAATGTACCCTTTATTTAGTCCACGGGTGTAGATTGATCTAATTCCACCTGCCATTTCTTTTTTTGGATATACCAGTATCAGTTATCTCCCTTTAACTCAACTCTCCAAGTTTTTCTTCCCTCTGCTGTGGCTAGGTATTGAACTCACAACTCTTTGGGTCAAGTCATTTTTCAACTGACGTTTTTATCAACTGGGACATGTGAGTGAATTTTGGGGGACTTACAGCCTTGTGCAAATTAATTGAAACACAACGAATAATTCCGTTATTGTTTATCTTTTTTGTATTTTTTCAATGAAACATGACACAGTGAACATATTAGTACATCCTATGTCCATTCCACGAAGCCGTTCCTTGCAGATTGACCACAGATTGTCGATTGGATTTAAATCAAGAGAGTTTCCGGGCCAGTCTATAGCACTTTGCACAGTAGTAAGGATTGTGTTCGTGCAGCGTAAATTTTCGTACGCTTGCTTGGAGTAACATCCATCGCAGAAAATGACCGTAGGACAACTAATAAACAGTCGAGACAATAGTGTCTGGGTCTGATAAAAATCTGATACAATCCCAGATGACGCAATATTTTTCGAGGCCAAACAAATTTCGCCATACACCCCGAAAATAGATTCACGTACGCTACAGTTAACAGTCAATGGTATAGTTTCATCTCGTCGGCGACTTTAAGTACTATTTGTAACTATTTCTAAGATGAAGTATTATAACTATTTACCCAATCCGAACTTTTATCTTTATCTTTATTGCCATATTCACAACGTTTCGACCGATTTAGGCTCCGGCCTTCTTCAGGTGATACATTGAAATTTCAAAATGTACCCTTTATTTAGTCCACGGGTGTAGATTGATCAAATTCCACATGCCATTTCTTTTTTTGGATATACCAGTATCAGTTATCTCCCTTTAACACAACTTTCCAAGTTTTTCTTCCCTCTGCTGTGGCTAGGTATTGAACTCACAACTCTTTGGGTCAAGTCACTTTTTAACTGAGGCTTTTGTCAACTGGGACATGTGAGTGAATTTTGGGGACTTACGACCTTTTGCGAATTAATTGAAACAAAACGAATAATTCGATTATTATTTTCCTTTTTCCTTATTTTTCCAATGAAACATGACCTCGTGTACATGTTAATACTTCCTATGTCCATTCCACGAAGTCGTTCCTTGCAGATTGACCACAGAATCTCGATTGGATTTAAATCAGTAGAATTTCCGGGCCAATCGATAGTACTTTGATTTCCTCACTGGTAAGGCGTGCCATTATGTTCATTCAGCGTTACAAGTTTTGTACGCTTTTTGGAGTAAAGTCTATCGCAGACAATGACCGTAGGACAACTAATAGACAGTCGAGATAATATTGTCTAGGTGTTATGAAAATCTGATGCAATCATGAATGATGTAATATGTTGAAGACCTATCAAATTTCATCATACACCCTGAAAACATATTCATATTTCTGTACACCACGACAAATGACATAATCTGAGGAAAAATAGAAATTGATTACACCTTGTCACTCGAGTGGGTCTAAAACTGACCGTATGGTGAAAGAAAAGAAACTAAAGCCGTTGTTTCAATTAATTTTTACAAGGATGTACTTAGCGATTCTTGATAAAATCCATAGAAGAACCTGCAATGATATTGATCCTGACTTGGCATCTCGGCTTCAATCACTTTCCAACCGATGAAATGTAGCTTCCCTCTTCCTTTTCAATAAATAATTTGACGGTAATTCTTCTGATAAACTTTGCTCTATACAAATCGTACACATGGGAACAAGTTAGGACTTCATAGAGACATGTGGTATTATGGTGACTGCATTAAGAATGGCGAGTAACAATGTGATGTTTTGGTGAAAGAAATACTGTGGGGTATGTTTGTGTCCGTAACTAACTTTAAGATAAAAAAGAGACTGAAGATCAGTCTTCTTATATCCACCCCCATATCAGATGATGCATATTTATCTAACAAAATTTCTCAAAATGTTAAGACCGGCATATCTTACTTATTGTAAAACGCAGATTGTGTGTGTGTGTGTGTGTGTGTGTGTGTGTGTGTGTGTG